TGGTCGCATCCGTACCTCTTTTGGTTGCCTAACACAGAGCAATTTACACTGAGTATGCAACAATTTTGCAACTCCTTTTTGCCTCGTCACGAGAGGTGCATTTTCCTCGTCACGAGAGGTGCATTTTTTGCTCATAAAATAAGAAACCAACGCATACGAGTACCGGTTCAAGCAAAACCCCAAGCAAGAAGAACAAGGAGCAGCAACTACTGTAAGTATTGAAAAACAGCACACAGCACACAGCACACAGCACACCACCACCACCACCAGCAGCGGCAGCAGTATCGAATAACAGCAGCACAGCACAGCCCCCGACTCACGAGAGATGCATTTTTTGCTCACAAAATATCAGCAACGCTCGCATATGAGGAGGAGTATCGCATACGAGTGGTACTATTGCATACGAGTACTAGTAGCTACTATAGCATACAAGAAACTCGCATACAAAAAACAGCAGCAACAAGCAAACAATGGTAACAGCTCAACAGGCACAGCGTCGTCCCCGGGCTCGAAAAAGAAGGGGGGGAACTGTAACGCCTCCACGAGACGTGAACCAGCCAGGGCAATGGGGAAGATACCATAAGGTTCTGCTTGAGTTAATGKATCAAGTACATGGAAGAGTAGACGAAGGAGGACCCAATGGCGATAATCGATTTCCGAATGATACTTTATTCACAGCAGAACAGCTGAGTCTCCTAACACCAGATCATATCTACAAGTTTTTTGCAAAGAAAGTCTTTGGTAGGGAGGATCCTGGTGTCGATGATAATCCTACTGAAGGAAGATCTTCATCCCTTGTTTACTACAAGAAGGCGTTATCCTATTTCATGCCAAACAAGCTGCACAAGTGGACTGTTATTGGCGGTGTTGGCAGTGGAAATCCTACAAAGTCCCAGCAAGTTAATGATCTAATTGCGGCTGTTATCAAGAAGGAAACCAGAGGACTTGGGCAGGCAAGCAGCATGGACCGACCTCTTACAAAGGACGAGTTCTTGCAAACGCTTGAACTAATGGGAAACCATGGACATCTTATTAAAAGACTTCGATATCTTGCAATGATTAAGTTTCAGTTTCATCTGATTGGCCGGAACGATGATACAGCTCATGTTGGGAAGGACAGCTTGGAAAGATCTGCTGAATTTCCTAGATTCCTTACAGCAAAGATGAAGTGGTCTAAGAACGTTAGAGAAGAGAGGGACTGTCCAAAACAAATCTTGCTTGGTTCCATGGATCATCGCGCTTGCGTTGTACTGGGGCTTGCCTTGTATCTTGAGAAGTGGTGCAAAGGAGGTGGAGCAGGAAGCCAATGGTTATTCACTGAAGGAACTACAGATAGTAGATCACCACAAAAGGATATTGCAAAAGAGGTTAATAAGGGGAAGACTGCATACTCTAATTTCATCAAGCGCCATGCATTTAAGAATCCTGTCTTTGTTGCTGAAAGACCTCTATCGGAAGGGAAGCTTGGTACTCATTCGATTCGGAAGTTCGGTACCACCTTTGCAAGGCAGTGTGGCTGCTCACGGGATGATGTTGATTATAGAGCAAGATGGAAGTCGAGACGCCAGCAGGACAGATACACTGACACACAGCTTGCATGGCCTGATGTTAATGTTGCTGCTAAGCTCTGTTTYGGAGGCATCTGTTACTACAAGCCTTTACAAGGAACGGGAGTCACTGATGAATGGCTTGCTGCTTCAGTTGCTCCTAATATTGCCAATGTGTTTGGTAATCAAGTGGCAGCGATTCTAGGTAAGGCCTTGCTTTGGGCTTGTTGCGATCCGGCAATGCAAGCTTCTGGCTTGATTCCGGAGGATGTGAAGAATGATGTTGTTGCTTCTTGGGTTCAACTCAATCACAGCCATGGTCCTCGTCGCTTAGATGCTGATGTGAATCCTATCAAGAAAGTCGAGCTGATTGTTAATGAAATCAGTGGGAAAGTTCACTTTGATGAGCTTGCTGATCCAGATGATCTGCTGAATGGTGCTGGAGGAGCCGCCCCTGGAGCTGCTGGAGGGACGACTGCCGTTGGGATTCGTAGGACTCAGTTGCAATGGAATCATGCAATGTTTTCGAAGCTCTTTGCCACAGCTAATCAAGTGAATGATATTAAGAATAGGCAGATTGCAGCTGAGGCCAGATTCAATCGCAAGCTGAATAGAGCCATCGAGCTGTCCCAAAGAGCTGCTATGGCCCCTGTAGCAAGACGTCGGATTGTCTGAGCTGTAAACAGTGGCGCGTCGGAAGCTGGTGGTGCTGCTGGTACTAGCGAGAGTGGAAACACCGAGCTGACTAAGTGTCCTCACGACCTGTATGTCCTCTGGAATGAATGGGAAGTGGGTGTTGGTCTGAACAAGCCTGCAAAGGAGTTTACTGCGGCTGAGAGAGGTCGTGTAAAGAGCAAGTACTGCAGGCGTTTGAAGTTCTGGAGATGCATGGAAAGACTCATCAGAGCTGGTTGTTCTTCTGAARTAGCTGTAAGAAGAATTTATGCAGTATATGGAGGCCCTTCGAAGCGCGTTTCATTCATTCTTAGAGCAATGGCACCCCATGAAGCTGTTGGGGGACGCCACATGCTGCGCGGACAGCCAGCAGTTGCTTCACCTTCTTAGTAATCTCCCCAGCGACGCTCGTTGCTGGTGGTTGTCCTTAATCCTCGTCGATCGTCGACGTCGATGCTTCTTTGTTGTTGCGTGTTCCTTACTACTTGTCCCCCCTCTTATATCGAAAAACAGCATAAAAATATAGTGTACTAGTGTACTGTGTATATGTTAACTGTATTTTGCTGTATTTTGCTATCCTCAACAAGAGGACCATCTTAGTAGCTGACAGGAGTGTTAGTATCGACAGTGTTGTTATCGTGATTGTTGAGAATTACTCTCCCGACTTGGTTTTTTTTCATAGAATTTGCCTTGCGCATGATCGTGTGAGTACTTCTCATCAAACACGCTGATACTCCAGCACTGTCTATAAGACCTACGAGTCTTATGTACTGTGTTCTACATGGTTGCATTTTTAGTTATATTTTCTTTTACCAAGTATTTACTGCAAAAAGTATCGAAAGGCTTTTCGGATAGATTTTTACTTTTTTACATCGTACGGTACAGTACCAGGTACGGAATTAGTACAGCAGTTCGTATGTCATACGTTGTACAGCTCGCAATCCAAAATCAAAAAAATCATCCGAAACAAAACGAACCACTAGAAAAGATACCAATTCCAAAAACTCGGAACCCCCTAGGCAGAAGAAATACTCAAATACGCAAYCATCAACAAGCGATTACWACAGAGCAGGAACACTCACAAACCACGCCMCAGAACCGAAAACACCAGAGACAAGCGGAATCAAAACCAACAACCGAAATGATCCAAGCCGCCAGCATCAGTCGAAACCACAACGGAAACGTTCTCTCCGMGGACTTTGTTCAGGAAGGGGAAGGGTCTGGGAGTTCCGAGYCGATCATCGATCTCTTCGGCGCAGAGAACTACGCCAAGAGTAACGGTGGCAACATCAACGAGTTATACAACAAAATGAACCAGAGCGACTACGAGCAGTTTCTGGTTCACATCAACTTCACCGAACCGTACTATTTGCGAGACGCCGTGATCGGAGCCGTCGAGGACGGGGGCATCGGCATCACGACCAGGAACGGACGCAAGCACGYCGCTGAGGTAGAAATCTTGGATTTCGGGTGCGGCACCGGCATTGTCGGCCACCTGATCAAGGACGCCGGATTCACCAACATCTGGGGCCTGGACGCGAGCTCCGGATTCATCGACATGATCCGAAGCAACGGTGTGTACAAGGGGGGGCAGGTGCTCTTTCTCGGCCGGGGTGTGGATCGGTTCCCGGAGGAATACAAGAACCGGTTCGACCTCGTCACCGGCACGGGATGTTTTCTTCCCAAGCACGCCCCRTCCCCGGCCTTTTTTGACGCACACGCCGCCCTGAAGGTCGGCGGGGTGTTTTGTTTCACGCTCCGGGCGAACCTCTGGGAGGACGGACACGACCTCGGATATAAGGACGCTATCGACAAGCTCGTCGCCGACGGSAAGATGAGGTTTCTCGATCACGCCGCGAAAGATTTTTGGAGGGGCAGAGAGGAAGGGATCGGCCTGTTCGAGAGGCAGAAATCCAAGCTGTTCGCGCTCGAAAAAATTGCCTGAAAGTAATCACTAAGTACTGTATGTCCAGAAAATTATACATATGCATATGTAGTATGATACATATCTATGAATTCGTTTGTTGGAATCAATCTCTCTGTTTCCCCCATCAATCGATTCATTCCATTCATTTTCCAAGCTCCAATTTTCAATTTTCGGTTTTGGGAATGATCTTCATGTTTTTAACAGGTCATGTAATTCGGGTTGGAGACGACAAGAAGTAACATACCCGCCGAAGCCAAAACATTACGGTATACCCTACAATCCGAATCCAAGYACATTTGTTATTTACAWCGACATCCAGAACCCATGCCATCTTCGTGGCCACAACCAGCTGTTCTCGAAAACCTCTTGCAGCCGCCTTCCAAGGCAGCTGCTGCCGAGGGGGAATCCGGGGYAAAGCAAAACGGCAGCAAATCAAGCACATCCACCRACGATGCTCCCGTGTACGACCACCGCGTTCTGGCATTGTACAAGTTCGTATCSCCTAGAATGCCGAAGGAATCACTCCCCGCCCTGAAAACCGAACTCGATGCCCTCTGCCGCAAGCACTCGGCACGGGGAACCTTACTGATTGCAGAAGAAGGCATCAACGGAACWATTTGCTATCCGTTCCGAGAACAAACGACGGACGAGRGAGYCCGAGACGACGGCGACGATGGCGATGAGCTCTTGTCCTTGCTCCAGGAAAAGTTCGGTGGCACTCTGAGAATACGCAGGTCGGTAGCCGATCGACCGGTATTTGCCCGCCTAAAAATCAAAATCAAGACCGAGATAGTAACGATGCACTGGCAGGGCGACAAACCGCAATGCGGAAACAGCGACAGTGATGCTCGGGATTCGACTACCGCATCCTGCCTTGGAAACGATGATGCCAACGACGGCGGCAACGGCGCGAACGCGAACACTGCTTGTTCGATGCCCTCAACGTCGTCGTGTGCTCCCTGTCGACCCACCGAACGGGTCGGGGAGTACGTTAGACCCCGCGACTGGAACAAGCTGCTGCTCGACCCGGAGACGCTGGTGATCGACACGCGAAACACATACGAAATCGATGTTGGTACCTTTCGAAACGCTGTCAATCCACACACGCAGTCCTTTGTCGAATTTCCCGATTGGATGAAGCGAAACATCGCCACCRCCGATGAAACGACCAGCAAGAAGCGCGCATTAGAGAAACCGAAGAAGATTGCCATGTTTTGTGAGTGACTCGAACTAACCGGGTTTGGTGGCATTTTTTGGAACCAACATTTGCCTGCTTGTTTTGGGCACGAGACGATGAGGATCCACAGTGTTTCGTTTTGTTTTCTTTCGAAGGTATCTAACTCCCTGGTTTTTGAACGTACCTCTTCGTGTCCTTGCGCTTTGGTACAGGCACCGGGGGGATCCGGTGCGAAAAGGCAACAAACGCCGCAATGCAGCTCGTCCCGAACGACGTCCCCGTGTACCACCTGSAGGGCGGCATCCTCGCGTACCTCGACGACGTTCCCGAGGCAGAGAGCCTCTTCGACGGCGACTGCTACGTCTTTGACCAGCGGGTGGCGGTGACCTACCGGAACCGACCGAGCACCACTTTTCGGCAGAAATGCCACGCCTGCCGGCACCCGCTGTCGAACGWGGACCTGGAGCGRGAGGACTACACCCACGGGGTCTCTTGTAGGTACTGCGTGGGCAAGCTCACGGAAAAGCAGGAGGAGCGCTTCAAGCAGCGGCAGCGRCAGATGGAGCTGGCCCTCGAGGCGGGGCGAAAGCACATCCACGACCCAAAAGAAGAGAGACAACAAGAACCGCCATCGACGAAGAGGAAGAAACCGTGCCTACGATAGCATTGCATCCAGGATGGGACAGACAAGCAAAGCTTCGAGATGAATTGCGTATCCATCCGTAGCCTCTACGAACAAATCGTGGCATTTATCTTAGTGCGTGTATTCGTGGAGATTTGGTGTGGATCCGGTTGCTGACCCACCAAACAAAATGGAACGAAAACTTCAGTGAGTGAATTTTCTCCCCCAACGGATATTGTCCGACACTTCATTGATTATTTATATCCGTAGCAACTAAAGTTAAAACACTATACCAAAGCAAACGAAGCAGTCTTATTTGCCAAAACAAYAASCGGTGTTTGGTACAGTAATATACTCATTATAACGATTTTCATTGGTCTTTATGCACTGCAACAGCTACACTCCGCGGTTGGATCCGTGACAATCGAACTAATTCTGACCAGCACACCGCTTTGCCGTTGCACGAAACTAAGGATATGGTAACAAAGTGGAATTCATGCTTTCGAACATCAGTTGCTTTCGGTTTCCTCCCCGTCGCCCTTGTTGAACGGATTGATGTTGTCAAACCAACCCCCCACATCGGGCAAGCTCAGGTTGATTCGGTCTGCCCAGGACTGCGCCGGAAAGGCAGAGAATCGGTTCGCGCTGGACCGAAAGTCCCTGCCGTTGGCATCGGTACCAGTCCACACCACGTAAAGCATCAGATCGCATTCCGCCGTCGTGGACTCCTTGCAAGCCTCGACGGTGTTGAAGCAAGCCCCCACGGGTTGCTTGGCGCCTTCTTCCGTCTGGATTTCACCGTCGTAGCCATAGGTGTTGTCTACGCATTGCTTGCTGCCACAGAACACGCACGCATTGTCCCAAGTRATCCCCGTCACGCTCCCCTCGTCGACGGAAATGATTGCCGTCAGAAAAGGGAAGACCTGTCGTTCGCTGTTGTAGTATAGTTTTTGAAACGACAGTCTGTGCAATAGAAGAGCGAAAAACATGATTCGAGATCATGATTTTACAGCAACAAAAGCGTTCGTGATGGGTGAAGGGAGTGGTTTATCCAACCRATCGGGAAGGAACGCACCGATAAGTTGAGAAAAACGAAAAATAAAATTTTTGAGAGACGAGCCATGTCAATCCAGTGGAAGTGCCCTACTTTCAATAGAGCGTCGAGACGGCATTGGTCTGGTATTCTTTTTTCGCCTCCAAAATGCCAACACGCCAAAGCGCCATATTCCACAATACAATAGCACACCTAACAAAACACAACAACCCCATTGCTCTCGCTCGRAACCAAAACGTCAAGACTTACGCGGTTTGAGCTTCGGCGTGGACCGTGATGTTCCCCGTGAATATTTCYCCCAACTGGGGATCTCCCACCAGTTGCGAGAAGGACTCGGGGACGTGAAACCTCGAATACTGGTCCGCGATCGGTGCAAAGTTGAGYCGCATGTACGTCACATCGTCCGTCCAGTCGCCGTTGTTCGAGACCACCAGGCACACGGTCGTGGGTTTCCCGATGGTCACCGGTTCATAGCCCGTTTCGGGATTGACGCAACCCCCCCAGCCCGAGCTGACTTCCTCGGCGGCCTGGTCGTCAGAGGCAACGGGGAGGACGGCAAATGGGGAGAGCAGCAGCAGCGAAACGAGAAGCGCGGCGGGTGCCACCATGGATTGGAAGCGTGAGACGGAACGAAGCGGCATCGGGCTCGGTGTAATTCGTGGTTGAAATGTTTCTTCTGTTGGTATAATGTAAAAGGTGATTAGTCGATGGCTCGTCAATGGAAGCAATTGGAATAATCACTGATGTTGGGTGTGTTGGGTGCCAATGGGGGTAGCCCTACGATATGATACGGCGGATCTGGATGTTGTTGTTGTCTCTACTGTTCGTTGTTGTGTCAAAAAAGGTTACTCGCTTTTCACTCTCACACCGTGCTACAAGTACGAGTACGTCCTGTAGGATACAAACTCGAACTGTACTACTGTAATGTTCAGTACTACTTAGTACTCGTAGTTCCCGACGGGTCTTTGTTTTTGGGTTAACATTTAACACCCGGTACGAGTACTACGAGGCCCACAGTGAAAAAATTCTTTTAGTATTAGAAGTACTGTACGTTACTGTAGTTCGTACTTCGTAGAAGTACTGTACTAGGAATAAGGATAGAGAGGAAAGTCATAGAAAAGTGAAAAGTGACCATCGTACCGGTACATCGTACTTCCTGTGGTATGATGCTAGACTAATATGTAGTAGTCGTACATTCATATGAAGTACAGTAAGAGGTAATATGTTCTGTCATCTACCAGCATAGTATGCTATCAACATATTCTCTTTAGATTCATAATGAATGAGTTCGCTACTATTCACTACCAGTGTGGTGGTGAGTGCGAGGATGAAGGTGATTGCGATATCACTTTAGAGCAATTTTGGCGTTGTTTAGTAGTACTACTAGTACAAGTAGTACTAGTACTACTAGTAGTGCCGTTCAGCAGGTTGTTGATCATCATGTTCAAATKAGTCAAAGGGGTATTCCAACTAGTAGTCAATGCCATGCTGTATTCTAACTGCTTGTAGTCAAAAGTAGAAAAATTGAGCTACTAGTAGTAGTAGTATCTTCAGCCAGTTGCAAATGAAATCTAAGAAGTTCTACCGTAAAATAAAATCAAAGTACTACAGTACGAGTTTAATCAGCAGAGTAGTAAAATTCATTAGTAACCGCCATATAAAACCTACCATATCCTACAGGGGGAAAAGGCATTCTACTCAAATCTACTCAAACACTAAAAATTATTACTAGTAGCATCATGGCGCTTAATTTTGGTTAATTTTGAAGCCCGGTATCTAGTACTGATCCTACATAGATCTACTAGTAGTAGTATTCGGTCACTCTTTCAACCCCAAACACTTCAATGATACTACTACTACTACTACTACTACTACTACTACTACTACTACTACTACTACTACTACTACTACTACTACTACTACTACTACTACTACTACTAAGCCAGTAACCTGAACAGCTCCGGAAAGGCCTCTAATGGTGAGATCCCCTTTGGGGATATGCCTGTCCTCATTGTGTTACTACTAAGAAGAGTGCTGTGTGTCATTGTTACACAATTAGAGCCCAGGGGGGCTGGTTCTTCTTCATCAACACCAGCCGGTAGTATGGCCAAAATTGGCTGGCCAGTGGACAAGGAGACTGGCTGCTGGTGGTTAGTAGAAAATAAAAAAATCTTAATATTATATTTTACCTCGTGAACTAGAAGAGGCACTTTAGTAGAAAATACTTGGCCAGCAGAACTCTATCAAAAAACAACTCCAGACAAGAACCACCAGACTACTAATTGCCCAGTCCAAGCTGATATCATTACTTAAAGATCCATGTCATTGGGAAGCCAAAGGATGATCTAGCARCTTAGAACTAGACAGCCAAAGTTACAGTAGTGAGTGGCTGAAAATTGTTAATTCTAGGTGTAATTTTATACTGACAAAACTCGTACCAACGTAAACCTGTAAAAACAAAAAGTGGCAGGATTTCATTATCCAAGAAAGCGGAATTAACAGCCAATCAGAGTGCTTAATTTGTACCGTCATCGTATTTGTATCCTTGACTTCAAACTAATGCGAAAGGAGTATGACACTTGTTAGGCTCACACCTTTGAAATCACACCCCCCATAGTAAATTGTAGGTACATTAACCAGTGATTCTTGTGCCAGATAGATAGCCCCATGTACCATACGTGGGAAACCGTACTGGTACTTTAAAGCATTGGGGCCATGCTGAAGAGATGTGAGAATTGCGAAGCATAAAACACAGACAATGAAAACAACCAAAGCTTTATTTCTCATTGTGCTAACAGCAACAGCTAGTACCTTGTCCTCTGTGTGGGCCTTGCCCTATGTCCAGAAGAGTATCATCAACGGAGTGGATGCTGGAGAAGACGAGTTTCCATATTTTGCCATCCTGAATTTCRTGGAGGAGGGTGGACTATGTGGTGGCTCGGTCATTGTGCCCGATATGGTCCTCACCGCAGCACATTGTGAACCAGACCCCACAGATGTTGTGGAAGTTGACGTGAGAGACAATGAAGGCAACATGATAACTCAAACCTGCAAAACGTGGGTGTCACACCCAGAGTATCAAGCCATTGAGACAGTTGAAGATASAAGGGACATTTTCTTGAATGATTATGCTCTCTGTAAGCTCAACAAAACTGTTATCATCAATGAGTCATATGTCAAACTGGAACTCTGAATAATGATGTATCCTTTCCAGCTGCTGGGACGGAGCTTATCGCCTTTGGACTGGGCGGGAATCTCGGACCATTCTGGGAATTTCCCTGAACATTTGCAAAATGTTACTCTAACATCAATCAGTACTGAAAGCTGCAATGAACTTCATTTTGAAGCATTCAAGCAAYTTGATCCCACAAAAATTGAGAAACTCGATGTGATTAAGGACGAGCTGATTGATCCCAAGGTGAAGATATGTACTGACTACAGCAGTGAAAAAGAAATAGGAATTTGTACTGTTGACTCGGGTGGTCCTCTTGTGAAACGTATTGGTCAGGGCAATGGATTGTTTGTTGACATCCAAGTTGGTATTAGTACTTCCTATAATGTGGAAAAAGGAGGGAAAACGTGTGCTTCATCTACTTTTGCCCGAGTCAGCGGTGAAATGGAATGGGTCACTTCCACTGCGTGCAACACATTGAACACCAGTGTTGGATCAATGTGCAAAAATAACAAAGCACCCAAAAGAACAAAAGCACCAAAGCAAACCAAAGCTCCAAAACGCACCAAGGCCCCAAAGAGTTAAGTATGATTACTAGATCAGATTGTCCGTAGAAAATCGTCAGTTGTAACAAGAAGGAGAAACCCAAATCGACAGTTTGATTTGATTCAATCGAGCATGCGTTAGCCGTATTGTACTTCGTACTCCTAGTACCTGGTACGTACTCCTTTTAGAATTGAACGCGGTAAAATTTAGAAAATTGAAAATTAGAAGGAAAATTGAAACAATGGCCTCGGTCATTTTTCGCTGGAATGATGTTTTTCATTTTTCACCTCCCTTCGTCGAATTGAAACGTGGCAAATTCGGAAACAATATTAATCTTCCACATTTTTGTGCGCGCTATCCTCCTTTCTGAAATTGAAACGTGTCATCCTTTCTGAAATTGAAACGTGGCAAAATACGGAAAGCAACATCATCCTACAAAAAATGGCCGTCTGCGCGTGTGGGTCCGTACGTGCGTTACGAGGATTTTTTGGTTCTGCCGCAATTCTTCCTGGTTGGGTTGCGGGCCTAGCCGGAAAACAACTTTCTTTCTGTGAAAATGTACTGTAATGACTAGGGAAATGTACCGATTCGCAACAGCACGTACAGTAGTACTCGCACGATAATACTTGGTACAGTAGTTCCGTAGTCCACAAAACATGAAAACGGTCGAAGTCACTTTCTCTCTCTCTCTCAACCGATCTGAAGGTTTTCGCATTCCTTTCGCTCCCAAAATTCCAATCCATCAGAAGTGTCATAATTCAAAATMATTGTCTCCAGCCGAGCCCCTTCCATTTCCGCAACATATACCTTATAATACCCACCGCTAGCTACACGCAACACTCGTAGCCTTTGTGACCTCCGATTCCCCAGCACCGTAGCGCAACAGTTTCCAGAAGGAGAAAACAGTCAGAATGATCCACCCTCCTCCTGTTGCAGACGCCGCCTGTCCTTGCAAGAAACGAAACGTCAAGGTTGGCRGCGGAAAAAGATGTCATGTCCAAGCAACAGCCGATTCCTCGGCCCGAATTTTCTCCTGCGTCGCGTTCCTGCTCCTTCTTTCCGCTGCGTCTCTTCCAACCGTCGATGCCCAGAAAACAACCGAAACGCTCGCTTCCCCAATTGCCACGCAGATCCTCCCGCCGACCCCGATTCCAAGCTTTTTTCCGGGGTCCAAYGAGAACGTGGAGGACACGCTGTGCACCCTGGACGATCTAGAACGAGCCAAYGATAGCCAGCTGAACGTTATATTCCACGAGCTGGAACAGACCAACTTCTTTCAGCACTTTGTGGTCGACCTTGAGGTCAAGTGTAACATGTTCAAGGACGAAGAAGCCAAGAGCAAACCAGCGGCACCAAAAGCACCACCGAAACCAGCCTTTGGCACGGGWCAAACATCGCAGACGTCTTCGTTTTCTATGGATTCGTTCCCCTGGGGAAACGACGAGGACGATGGCGACGACTTTCTTTGCACAGGTGGTGCCGACGAACTGGACGAAGAYGCCGTCCCGCTCTGCTCCGTGGATACCGGTGACAGCGACGACATGCTTGCGGGTGGCGGCTTTTCGGCCTGGGAGGAAAAGACAGACGAGATTGTGATGGAWGARGATCCTCCCTGCGATTCCGATGAAGAGGAACAAGACAGCGGTATCTTTGACATACCCGACAGCTTTTGGATGGACATTTGCAGCAACATTCGCAAGGGAGAAGGAACCAAGGTAGTCAACCTCGAGCTCAATCCCGAACGGAACACGTATTACAATGGGTCTCACGTGTGGGACGCGATTTACAAGGAAAACCGCATCACCACCGACGACACATGCTTGGAAGAGCGTGTCCTCTACCGCTTGCTGAGCGGCATGCACACCTCCACYACCCTCAGCATTGCTAAGAATTACTACCCTCCCTCCAAACGCAAMAATCGAGAAAACTGGGAGGCTAACCCCCAGTACTTTATGGAACGATTTGCCGACCACCCCGAATACATTCGCAACCTGCACTTTTCGTACATAGTTATGCTGCGTGCCATCAAAAAGGCTCGTGACTACCTCTACAACTATGATATTTCTTCGACAATGCCACTGGAAGACACGGCATCCACGAATATTTTGTTGAGACGTTTATTGGATACTACTATTTTGAGATCCTGTTCCGACGTGTTTTCTGCCTTTGACGAGTCGGTAATGTTCCAAGAAGACGACAACAAAGAATTGCGAGAATCGTTCAAGGAAGTCTTTCACAAGATATCCGGCATTTTGGATTGCGTCCAGTGTCAGCAGTGCAAGCTCCACGGAAAACTGACGATGCTGGGGTACGGAACTGCCCTRAAAATCTTGTTTGTCAAGTCGCCCAAAAACTTGGTGCTCGAACGAAACGAAGTGGTAGCGCTGATCAATACAGCGGCAAGGCTGTCCAAGAATCTCRTCGAAGTTCGGGAACTCACAACCATGTACTGGGAAGAGGAGCGGACTAAAATCGCCAACCTAGAGATCAAGACTGAAGTTTCAAAAGGCGCTTCGGTGGTCCCCGACAAGCTGCCCTCACAGGTCTCCTCTACCCCATTCGATAGTTTAGACGTATTGGATGTTACCGTTGGTRTCATTTCTAATGCTGGGCGACTAGAATTGATTTCGATGGAACGAGAGAAAGAACTGGTCAATATGGCACTGGCTAGACATCCAGAGTTGATGATTCTAGGCAAACACTACAGCAAGGATCCCGAACGATTTGTTGCCATGGCAACAGATCTAGGGGAATTRGAATCTGGTGGAAGGGCAGCAACAAAGACTTCCTTGCCAGCGCTTCCGCCCGATGCTATTGTGGTTGGCAGTGGACTTKCTGGTCTGGCAGCATCGCTAAACATTCTGGATCGAGGAGGTACGGTCGTCATTCTAGAAAAAGAGCACCTAGTTGGTGGAAATTCCAACAAGGCAAGTTCCGGTATCAATGGATACTGTCCTCACAACGATACTTGCAGCGACTCCATGGACGCATTCAGGAATGATACGATCAAATCGGCCGGCACAGTAGCAGACTTGGATCTCATCGATGTCTTAGTGACAAAGAGCTCACAGGCTGTGTCTTGGTTGAGAGACCGTGCAAACGTAGATCTTTCTCTCTTAGCTCAACTTGGAGGTCATCGTTACAAGCGCACTCATAGACCGAGCAACGGCATGGCCGGAGCTGAAATCATTTACAAYATTCAAAAAACTGTCCGATCTTTCGAAAAGACAGGTCGAGTCAAGATTCTTGTTGATACCCAAGTAAAGGAACTGCTCACCGAAGACGGTGGCGACCGAGTAGTAGGAGTCAGGGCTGAATCCACGAAGGATGGAACCGTTCAAGAAATTCTTGCCGACAACGTTATCCTTGCAACCGGTGGCTTTGCTTCGGACCGTTCTTCCGGATCGTATTTGGATCAGCACCGTCCGGAACTCATGTCCTTTCCAGCCACAGCCGGTGCGTTTTCAACCGGGGATGGTATTACGATGGCGACAACCCTGGGTGCCGCAACCCGTGATATGGACAAGGTTCAGATCCACCCAACGGGCTGGGTCGATCCAAAGGATCCTGGAAACCCCTCCAAAATTTTAGCTGCTGAATTGATGAGAGGAGTTGGAGGAATGCTGATTGATCATTCCGGCCGGCGTTTTGCCAATGAGTTAGGAACTCGAGCTTACGTAACCGATCAAATGTTGAAACACGACGAGGAGTTTGTCAAGACTGGAAAATGGAATCCCTCTACCGAGGTCCCCACATTTTTCCTTGTCTTGTCTTCRTCCGCCGCTGCTGATGGAAAAAAGCATGTCGATTTATACTCGCACAAAGGTTTACTGACAAAGGTTGAGGGCGTGGACGCCCTTTCCARTCACATGGGTATGAGCACGGAAAAAATTACAAAAACTATTTCGCAGTATCAGTTGGCTGCCAAGAAAGGAATCGACGAATTCGGAAAACAATCCTTTCGTGGTGTGCCCGCTGAGAATTTGAAAACAGAAACATTTTACGTTGGTACAGTTACACCAGTCCTGCACTACTGTATGGGTGGAATCAAAATCAATCCGGAGTGTAGCGTTRTGAGGGAGGATGGAAAAATCATAGAGGGTCTCCATGCTGCTGGGGAAGTAACAGGTGGAGTGCATGGTGCCAATCGACTCGGGGGAAATTCTCTCTTAGAATGCACTGTTTTTGGAACCGTTGTGGGTCAAAAAGTGCCTATCAAGGAAGAAGGGACGTACCGAATGGTCATTGGGGATGAAGAAATAAGTAMAGAACAGTTGGATCCTGGTACAKTAGGCTCAGACGAGCTTCCGAACATTCAGATGGATGAATTGGCCAGGCACAATACAGAAGAGGATCTTTGGGTAGCGATTCACGGAACTGTCTACGACTTTACAGAATTTGCTCATGAGCACCCAGCTGGCTTTAAATCAATATTTGACCTTGCAGGCACAGATGGCACGGCTGCCTTTGATGCRGTGCATAATTTGGGAATGCTTGACGACTTTGAACAAGACCGACGAGGTATTCTCGTATGAAGAAAAGAGGGCTTGTATACCCAGAAGAAAAAATGGTAGTTCCTTCATGAATACTTCGCAGACACATTTGGCACCTCCACCGTTCATTACGTGCACAACTAGGCAATGCTCGCGAWTTTAGAAACATACACCAGGCATTCGTGAATACACATTAGAAGCTTGCCTGCTTTAGAAAAATAGTATAAGTGCGAAGTAGAGYATTATGAATAATTTCTAGAAGTATCAAGACGACCTTGAGGTAAAGTATCAAAMCAACGAAGGTTTGAAAGGGTGTGTTCTTGATGATAGTCCCTGCGGATAGACAAAATGTTTTTATAGTTATGATGGAGGCCTGAATCTCCTTGATAAGTTGCGAAAAGGTCCAGAAGACTTCGCATTCATAATATCGAAGGCCAGAAAATAATAAAGTTGAAAACAATGGTACGATGAAGACTATGTGTTGGTCGAAAATTGATATACTTCTAGTAATGCATTCCACAAAAAATAAMGTTCTTGAAGTTTATGAGGAATAATAATAAAAGGTTCTTGTTTATTGAGTGAGAATCTTACAATACCAGGATTCGTGTCACCGTAGCACTTGRAAACATTCATATTCTGATCTCAGTTATATTCCAGGTGTTGGGACAATACAATCCTCCTGAATTTCACCGACATTTGTCTATTGTTGAATATGAACAACAAATCATGTCRTCCTAAACTATCCCTTTAGAAATATTTTCATCGGCGCTTGGATCGRCATCCCCGTCAACAACTGCATCTTTTCCGCTTGTTTTGCGTTCAGGTTGATAGCTGCCTACATCGAAAAGGACATCAAACTCTGCAGTCAACAACGTAGTCTTGTCCGCATTCACRTTTCCAGCAATCCCATCATAATCCTTTGTGGCGAATGCCTTCTTATTGCTATTCTCTTTCTTCTCGTCGTTTGGACATCGAGAATACTTTCTATCAAGAAAATTAATCATTCGTTCTTCAAAGCTATCTTGTACAACTAAACGGACTACTTCAACTGCTCTCTTTTGTCCCAGCCTATGGATGCGACCAATCGCTTGCGCTTCAAGCGCGGGATTGAAGGATGGTTCCATCAAGAACACTCTATTTGCTTGTGTAAGGTTGATTCCAACTGCGCCGGCTCTGTGTAATTTGAATGGCGAGAATACAATTTATTTAGAAAGTGAGAAGAGCACCATCTGAGAATTTKATGTTTACTATGAACCCTCGGACTACGTCCGTCTCAATGGAACTAACCTCATACTAAGTAGAAAAATCGTGGTAGGTGGGTCGTTCTGAAAGTCGGCCAGAGCCTTTGCACGCTTCTGCATACTCATGTCACCAGAAAGCGTTCTAAATTGGAATCCATGCTTCGGAAGYTCAATTTTCAGCCACTCCAGGGTAGATGAAAACTGGGARAATACAAGTGATTTGGCTGATGACAAACAATTTGGGRTAGATGAGAACAATCTATGCGACACCTGACACACACAAATATCTTGATGACRACCGCGATGAACTTACAATCACGCTCGTTGGCTTTTATTTCTTCGAGTTCGGAAAGCAAATATTTGAACTTGCTCTGAAACACAAATTTTGAGCGCACTWTATCTCCGGACGCAKTATTMTTGGAATTGTTGYATTCCACATTTTCGTGGTCATCCGCGTCAGCACCCACGTGTTCACTTTCCGAGAAGATAGGATATTCCCCTCCTGAGCAGGCAATGCGCATCGGAGTAAGTCGGGAAGAAATCTTCAAGAAGTGCTTTGACATGGTTTTAAAATGAATYGAGCGAAATTKTAGGTACCATTCTTGCGTTTTTTTCTCGATCTCTTGTAATTCTTTCTTTTCTTCAGKGGTAAGACGRATGAGTTTCCTCTTCTCAGTCTAGAATATGAAGCAAGAAATGGTTATTGGTGCGTGAGAGAGAAGAAAGACGTTATAGATTTGGTGCAGACTTGCTACAAACGGCGTACCTTTGGAGGCAAGGACATMAGAGTAGTTGATGTTCCGCGATATKTTTGCTCTTGGTTATGGTGGATCATGATTGGACGAAGAAAGTAGGTAAGAAGATCCATGTTGAACCTCTTTTTGTCTACACTATGACGCAATTCATCGAAACTTTTTTGAACATTTTCGAATCCAAGAAATTTGAGCTGGTTTTTTAAGTCGTCGGGACTAGTGTTCATAGGTGTTCCTTTGTAAAAGTTGAAAGAGATCAAGAGGAAGACATCGAGATTAAAAACAGCTTCGTAGAAGAATGGGTTATTGCCGAATGAAAACGTACCTGATACAATCCATTTGTGATCAGAAACAAGAGAACGAACTGCTTTCGAACGCATTGAAGAGGSATGACGCAAGCAGTGACCTTCGTCGCAAATGATTCTCCACCAACGAATCTGTTCTAGTGGCGAACAGTAATCCTTGACATGACTCTTCTCCTTGTGATAGAAGGCATCGCTTTGGATTACGTCATATGTGGTTACGACAATGGAGTTTTTTGTCAATATCTTTGGATCTCGCTYCCGATTGCTACCATGGTATGGGYAGATTAGACCTGGTTCCTTCAATTTTGACTTAGCCTCGGCAATCCATTGTCCCACAAGTGACACTGGACAAATTACTAGCGTTCCCCTGCAAATAATACTGCCCTTTTTCTTGTTGGAAGTCGATGTTTTYTCATACAAATTCTCATCCCAATCGTAATTTCCAGGAGTGGCAATATTTGGAGAGAGAACAGTATGGCTTTTTTTTTTCAAGACCGAAATCGGACTTCCGCTACTTGGAATTTCGGGTGCTGGATTCTTCAATATCAATGATAGTGATATAACAGTTTTGCCAAGTCCCATTTGATCGGCAATAAAGCCACCACGAATCACTTTCGGCTTATCCTTCCGAAATTGTCTCAATAATGGGTTAAAGTAAAGTTCATCTTCGTGTCCTTCGCCCCTGTTGGGAACCTTGACCCAATGGTAGGATTGAATCCCGCCCAGTATTCGTTCGCGCTCCAACGCCCACTTTAAAGACTGGCGTTGGAAATCCAACAGCTCAATCGTTAAGCCCTCCACGCAATCCTCTGTTTCGTGACCTAGATTTTCAAGTTGAGTCAAAGTTTGTTTGATGCTGAACTCAGATGGACGTTCGCGAATTTGTTTTCTAGCATCCCTATAATAACAGAGTTCTGTGACAACATTTGACTGGAACCCAAGGACAAAATCGAAAAAATTTGATTTGGTTCTAAACATTGAACCCTGACAAATTCCTTCTACTGAATCTGAATCGACATTATATGATGATGCCATATGTTTAACGAAAAGTTCAGAAAAATATCGAACAAGGGAGTTGCGAAAGAGATCAGAACAACTGCTTCCAGAGGGAGCAGAGGTACAAACACTCCCACTAAACTTGGATGCATTGCTTGGCGCCAATGTTAATTTACTTTCCTTGGCGATCTCATCCTCCCYCATYTTCACCGAAAAGGATTCCAGTTTTTTTCTCAAGATTGGAAACAAATTATTATCAATCTCTTTTATCTCTTTTCTTGGCAGCGACTTTTTGTGTTGATTTCGCTGTTTGTATTGATTTCGAAGTTTTTTGGTAATATACCGGTATGATGAATTCGACGCCTTCAAAATACCACACAATTCTGATACTTGAAATGGAAACATGCCAAACCACAGTCCCAAAAGATGAGGAAGATATCTTTGAAGAGCACTGTGTTTATTAGACACCGGATGCTCCACCATGAAACACTTTGGGAGCATGAATCGAAGGGTGAACCGCCCGATCTTTGACTCCTTGCACCAGGATGCATTGATTTCAAGTCCATCTATTTTCTTTTCGACAATCAAATATAAAAGCTGCAATTGCTTTGGGTCGCCAACGATAATAGCATCAGTATCATCCATTCGTTTGTGACTTTGACCTATCGGTTTATTTGGAATGTTTTCCTCCGCAACACGTTGAATTGAAGTGTATATGTTCTGAAGATTTGGAGACCTTCCAATACGATGGAGAAAAACCTCCTCCTGTCGCTCGGCTTCATCGTAGTGCCATTCCGCTTTACCATCATTATCCTCCCAATTTACCTTATATTCATCAAGCAATCTTGGGTCGTGTGCTTTGATTCGAAACGGGATTTCTTTCTGTCCGAAGAAGTAGGAATTCTTTTCCTCGGTAGAGGTAGCTGCTTTTTGGTTTTTTTCAAGATCCTCATCCGAAGCAACACGGCCACAATACTTACACCAGTCGTCACTAGAAGGTGTAACACCACGGTCAGGACGGAGCCTAACGAACCAAGAACAGTGGCGACATTTTGTCAACTCTATATCTCGCGGTGCATCCGGATTGGTGGGTTCAAATGGACCTGGTCGACCATAGGTCGACAATTTCCTCTTTTGTCGCTCTCTTCGATAACATTCCTCTTCTGGATTAGCTGCCACGTGCTCAAAATTGRTGCAATCGATTCCGGGTTTGTCACAAACGTAGCACCAGCACTTGTCGCAAGCGAGCCKGTCGCAATCCTTCATGAAATGGAACCCTTCGGGAGGTTCATCTTCTGCTCTTTCTTTTTCATCCGTTACTTTGGATCGCAAACGCATATCCTCCCAGATTCTATCCTTCTCGGTAGCACAGCAATGGTTATTTTTCGGAGTAGTTGAAGACGACGAGTGCCAATTCTTGCAATCCTTCACGGGACAATCGCAGACGTAACAATAGCACAAATCACAAGACTGTTGATTSTCCCGGCGGACGGATACAGAAAGCTTTCTGCTTCGTGTGGTGCGAAAAGGAAAAGAGGTGCAGTGCTGTCGCATGTGCGGCAATCTCGTCTCGTTCAAGACACCTTCGACTACCACATCATCTTCGTTGTCGCCAGTATTGCCACCACCCGCAGAAGCCTTCCTGGACACGGAATCAGCCGCTCTGGTGAATTTGGGAGCCTCGGCTTGTACTATTTCGACGTCGTCGTACATCGTGGCAAGATCATTGTTTGGTCTTGCGGACGACGGAGATGTCTGTCCTTCTTTCTTCACACGAGCCTTTTTCGAGACCCTGGAAACTTCTGCGGTCTGAGTCCTTTYGTCTGCAGAGTTTGWCTTGGTAGTCTTGGCGTCTGAAACAAGATAGCAATGTAGAAAATACGTGGGAGATTTGGGTTTGTAGGCATTGCTTTGCTGATTCAATCATGTCCAGTTCGTTTGTTCGGTAAACTTACAGCTTGCTGGGGGATCATTTTCGTCATCACTAGAGTCGAGAACAATAACCTCGTCGATTGCTGCTCTCTTTTTGCCACCAGACTTGGGCACCAATACTCTTCGAAGRTCATCGATATCATCATCACCATCCTCGGTGAGATCAATACAAGCGAATTCTGAACCATCAGCAACACAATCGGGAGACCGCTTTTTGCGTTTCTTCCGTTTGTCGTTGCTCTTCGTCTGTGTCCGTGACGGTGTATTCCCACGTTTGTTGTTGTTCGCTCGCGGCATCGTTCTGCTTATGAGATATCACTACTATTTTGGATGGTGACGATGGTTGCAGTATATCGCAAGTCGTTCTGCAACTTGTTTTCTGGAACTTGTTTTCTGGAAGCTGAAAGAAAGTGAACCTAATCCTAACAGCTGTRTTGTAGATTTTGACGCGTTGAGTAAATCAGGTCGTGCAATGCGATCTTTTCCGCTCACACCGGTAAACCTGCTKGTGAGGAAAAATAGCGCGGTACGATCCCTCATGATTTCACTAGTAGAATTACGGTACACTACTACGTGTACGCGGTTTATCCATATCGCGGCGCGGCTAAGACAGTTGTGGTCTGTTTGTACTCGTACTTTAATTACTGGATGATAATAATTCTGTACAGTATCCCTGTAGTGTAATAAATACGAATATTGGTAATCAATCTGTACGAACTTTCACCTCGGATGATCAACGCAAGCCGCGTACTGGCAAGTAGAAGTACTGTACAGTAATTGGCAATTCCCGTAATATTCGTGTGTTTGGAAGATTGAGATGAGGAGCATGAATCAAAACATTGCGCGAAAGTACCAATAGCCTTATTCTTAACGGTCATAAAACCGCTTTAATTTCGTTTTACGGTTTCCTATTTTGACGTCATTGTCATCTCCCGTGCCGATCTCTTCCGTCCAACTTTTTTTCCCCCGAAAAAATGAGAAGTAGAACAAAATCACACGAATAAGAACGTATCCGATGTGTGACACAACAATGCAACCCATGCCGTCGACTGCCATTAGAAAAGCACACCATATTGCGTAACATTCGATTCGATATGCARGTCCRCCAAGCAGCGTGTCAATCTGCGGTSTCTCGTGCAGAGACCGAAACCAATGGAAACACCAAGGTCGAGAACGAGGATTCCGTTCAGCCGGAGACCAAGAAGCCTCGATTGTGCAACGCAGAGCCGGGAAGTTGTGGTGGTAGTGACGGCGGCGATGGTGATGGCGGCGATTCGAAGTCGCGTGCCCCGAATCCGTCTGCTGCGACCGGTGGCATCGGCACGGGAACGCACCGGAACGAAACTCTCCCGTCGACCCGTTGGCTGTTGATTCCAACATGCGACCGCAGCGGGCTCGGTTCTCTGGCAGCGGCACTACCACCTAGCCTCCGTTCTTTCGAAGAGAAGAAAATTGGCCGGGACCTCGACAAACTTCGGGGACTGCTGGACCAACACGGTCTTCGAACCTCCAGAATTTCGTCCCCGCGCGAAGCGGTGTCTGTGTACAAGGATTCCTGTCTTGGCGGAGACGACGAGCCTGCCAACAGTTTTCTGAAGGACGGAACGGATTTTCTTCTAGTGACGTTTGGGCTTCATCCGCAGCAAGAAGAACTAGAAAAATATTTCAGAAGATCCATTCAGAATACGTATTGTCTACTTTTGTTCTGCAAAAAAATGCGTGAAGAATACCATTCTTTGCTTGGCTTGTCGTCATCTGAGTCGGCATCGGCATCGAAGTCACAGCATGTCTCGGAACCTACGAATGCCATAGATAATGAGATCAACAAACAGATCGAAATGTTAATTGSCGAAATCGAGAAKACCACCAGCGGACTTTTCAGAGAATCATTGTCCTCTACGAAAATAGGAACCACGAAGGAGCAYCATGGAGGTGTTTCCTCAAGATTCGCCGAGGAACAAGTTACTGCTCTGATCGAGCTTGCTTCTGCTGTGAAAGGGAAGCGTCGGTATCGAGCAGAAGAATGGAAGAAAGAATACCAGCGAATCTGTGTCGCCAACTCGACGATTTCCAACGCGTACCTATTTTTGCTCCAATTGACACACGAAATGTGTATCCAGGACATTCTTTTCAAATACAATCCGAAGGAGCCGAAATACGAACGGATCACCATATAYTTGTACGATCCCGCCATYGACTATCGAAAGCCCGGTTTGTTTTCGTTCCTCCCCGGTYTGCGCACGGTTCTTACCAGGGGACCACATGAGCTGGTATCAGACATGATCGAATCGTTTTGGTCCCAGGTTCTTCGCAATGGTTATTTTCCAACCGCTGCGATCCAAGAAGTTCTCGAGCCACAGTTGCGATCTTTTTTCCTTTCGGGTCTAGKCGCCGCCGACGCGAGAGGTACCACCTAYTTGCCTCTGCCTCTCAAGGCGAGCTTCGTTCCATCGGCTCCGCTTTCCATCTATCTTCACGGAAAGGCAGGCGCGGGCAAAAGTTCGCTGGCAAAAGTCCTGCCCATGGCCTTGCAAAGCACGCTAGAAGAACACATCGATCCCGAATGCATGGCACGGTTTGTAAAACAAAACCTTAACAAACGTTTGGAGACGCTCGAATTAGAATTCCAACTCCGTCCGAACAACAATGACATGTCTGTCATGAGCATCATACAAGGTCGTCGCATGGCCATGAGTCAATCGAAACCAGGTCTTGTGGTCTTGAATCTAGAAGAACTACCGATGGATTCCTCCTTGGGTAACGACCCGAACCAAGAAGCGGTCGCACAGCTCATCAGCCAACGCTTTGGGGGACGRAAAGGAAAGTATCAATCACAGGAAAAGCAAAGAAATATTGAGAACAAGGGCAGAAATGGCCRTGGGAACAACGCGGCCCCCCGCAATTCTGACAAACGAAGCATTGGAAGAGACTTCTCGCTGGTCACGATTTTCACTTCCAATTATCCCCTAGCGGAGAACTCGAAAACGGCTCTCGCGCAACTCGAACTCTACAAGTCTTTAGCACCCATARAAATATTCTCAATAACTGGATCGGACCGACGTCAATTTGCGCAATCCTATTTGAGTCAATGTCTGACAGATTTATTGGAGGAAAATTGCGATGTAGAACTCTCGCCACGAAACATGATTCTCGATATTGCATCGATTTCCAGCGATGGTGACACACGTCCACTCGTCAGACAGCTTAGAATGTTTTCCTATTACGTTGGAAAGTTGTTGAAAAACGCTTGCGTCGCAAAAGAGGGACCGATTATTGTGGAAGAGATCAAAATAAAACAAAGCGATAAGAATTGCACCATAAGCGTACAAACCAAAACTGAAGGAAATCAGAATCAGAGTAGTCAGCAGAAACTAACAATGGGAARTCTGAGCAAYTGGTATCCTTCCGGGGAATTCGTCTTCGATTCTAGGATCAATCGARTAATCGACAAACTAAAGACAATCGCTGGCGATAAAAAAGCTATCGAACTCGCTGTAATTTTGGAATTCTGGTTTTCTTCAAYCCTTGCTCCAGCAGTCATTCTCTCACAAGACAAGAAAATTATTGAGCATATAATGGATGCAATCGACCGAATGGGCAGTGGTGTCAATTGCATTCGAAGAATTGACACTCAAACGTACAAAATGATCAAGAGTTTATACGATCCGAAAGAAATGCCTAATCTTCGCGATGACATCCTTAAGTTCGGCCGAGGTGCATTTGTAGCCACAGAACTCAGCTGTCCTACTAGCGATTCTCAGCTTTGCATTCGAGAAATGATAGAGGACAGCCCATCCATGACTGCCTTTTCGAGCACGAAATCAGCGCTTCATAAATCAGGGTTGCTCTTCGCCATACACGTTGAGGGAGAAGTCACTCCAGAAGTCCTCTCGCGAGTTTCATTCATTCTCTGAAATCTCGCAAGAGGGAATCCACTCTGCTTCCACTTGTTCGACCAGAAGATTGGTGAAGATTGGTGTGTGGCTGCGGTATTGCAATTAATTTTGTGAGACAGAAAGTTACTCGACCGAAATAAAAAACACGATATGCGGACATTACGATGCTAGAAGTACGGTCAGATCGTTTGTAAAAAATTAAGTGAACTACAAATATATGATCAAAGAAAATGGATCAAGTTRTACAGGCGTCGCAATCACCACCATCCAGAGGTCACAGTCGATCCAGTAGCGTTAAGGAATGCTTGTTCCTCCTCGTAGCAAGCCTCCTCGAAAGAGCGTGTCGTATTTCCAATCGGTTCAGGTACAGGGTAACCTGTCAATTCAGTTTTAAAAAAAGACGGTCAGCAGTGAGATTCCATATCTGAAAAAGAAAGAATTTGTGTTCACCCTTCGTGTTTGCCGCCTTACCAAAATTGAAATGACAACGGCAGATAATAGGTCGCCCATTGGAGCCGCAGCGATAGTTGATCTCGCATACACTTTCACAGTCGTCGAAAGAGAAATGATATAAAATGAGAAAATCGATGGTTACGATCAAACCGGGATCGAAGGTCACCAAATATCGAGAAAATCCTATTCCTTAGCCTTACCTACGCCACATGCTATGACATCCGAAGAGATTGGACGTTTTTGCGCTGCACTGAGCTTCCTGATGTTGCCGGGGCCTTCCTCCAATACGAGCAATGTAGTCTCGATCTGGCATAAAATTGAAAACGTATTTATTTATATCGTCCATGGTAACTTTGGGCGTAACAGCGTTGCGAGATAATTCAACACCAAGTCCAGAGATACCTATTGCTGGGGCTTTGGCCTGTGCTCCAGTAATTATTGCTAGTCCTCCCCCAAGAGATGCTCCCGTCACCCGAATCTTTTCAAATGATTCTCTGAATGTCTCTACTGCATCGGTTGTCACCTTATAGTAGGCTACATCATTCAATTGATCTGATTGAATAAAGCTGATAAACCRAACGAGCTGGGAAAACATAGTAACGCACAGGCCAAATCCAATACGAAGATTATGAGCAAACACAAACAKCATCATTCATCAATCCACAAACCAAAGATCACACTTGATTACGAGTTYACTCACATCGTCTAGAATTGGCGTCCAAAGCCAGCCATACGGGATCATCCATTTGACAAGCTGCGCGAGTCCAGACGCCGACCARAGCTGCAAATTCACCATCCAATCCCACGAAGTTTGCGATCCTCGAATCGCAAGAACCGCGAGGTCTGGGCTGTATGGAAAAGTAAATAATTTGAAGTACTTTAAATCGAARAAATAGCACAATATTTGTTAWATACTGGATGAAGCGCCACAACACGTTCCGCGCTTCAAGAAACTTACGACTGGGACAATCGAGTTGTTAGCTTCYTCCCGATATTCTTTAACCTTCGTATCCTCGTCAATAACTGCCCCTTCTCCGAACCATTGAGGCAAAAGGTAACCAGTGACGTCGGTAGTTTCGTAGGCTAGAGCAGCGAGGTAGGCGTAGTCTCCAAGAGCCGTGTCCTCTTCTTCACCGCCATCCACAGAAATTTTGAATCCTTTACTCATGGAACACGACGGATACTGCAGAGATTCTTCGGCAGGATAAGYATAATCATCAACTAAAACAATTGGGGGTCTCTCGCCAAGTCCATCATTCGAGGCGAGWGCGGCGTTAAATAAAAAGTATGTAGCAAGAACCAAGGTTCCGAAAAACCATATCCAGCGTTTAACCGCAWTACTCCGTGTGATATTCCGAACCGTTCCCGCAAGTCTAGCTTTCAATACAAGCTTCCTTTCTTCACTGAGTCTTGCATATTTTTTGTGTTGATTTTCGTACTCCGGTTCCACTTCGATAGTATTCATTGAACCAAGTTCGCAAAGAATAGCAGATGGATCAAAGTAATATCGTAGAAAAGAAAAGAACGAAATGATAATGAAAACCACCCCCATCGTGATGTTCTTAGTCAAAAAGAGAACAGTAGCTGGAAATAGGATTAGCAATAGACACTCCAATAGCATACCGAAGTAGCATACCCAAGGCTTCGGTTGAACAACCCTGGAACTTTCCCAAAGACGGTACAWCGTCTCCTCAGACACCATTTCACCACTACTGGTGCGTCGCACTTTCATTGACTCGGCTACTGGCTCGTTCCCCTCCGGCTTGACTTTTTCGGTCGTGTTTTCACCTCCTTCCTCGATCAGATCATCCTTGTGAATGTCTCTATACATTTGGATCATAGTCTTTTGACTTTGAATTAATGGAAATAAGCAGCAAACAATGCTTATAAGAGCAACCACGATGTAACTTGCCCACCCAGTACTCAACCATGCAAAAATACTAATCACAGTCACAATGATGAGGATTGTTCCAAATATATTGCACGCAAAAGTTGACAAAACCTGGGTACCAGTAAGAGCAGAGGGCCCCTKCACACTAATGATCTTCTGGCGCCTAGAGCTGGAGAAGAACATTCCTTCAAGACTCCAGCTGTTTCTGGTAATAAACCGAAGATCGTCGAGAACTTCTTCGATACTGTAAGTACGCTCGGGCGGATCAATCGTTTCGTACATGAATCGGAAGCATCCAAGCTGGGCGATGTGACTGTAAATACTTTTCCTTGTGTATGTTGGGTCGTGCTTGTCGCTGAAAGTGAACCCCCCTCCCGGTGGCACACACGTGTCGGTGACAAGGTATTGCTCATGTTTCTCTCCCGAATATCTATGCGTCTGCACCAGGAGTATCGCACATCTAATCTTGCTGAAACAGGAGGAAAGCTCGGTACCATCATCGTCACCATAATGGATTGACACAAGCTTGAAGCAGGCAGAAACCTCACACCAAACTACAGCAAGCCCGAAGCAACAAAAGACGAATGCGACGCACCCTAACCATGCATAGGTTGCGATTTCCCAAGGATTGTTCAGCCCTGCATAGAGGGCACTGAAGAAAGTAGACAGAGGTATCAAAAGGAAGAATACAAAGTACAAAAGCTCGGTGACAACAGGCGGAGCTTTGAATACAGCACGAATAAGGAATCCCCCCGACCAGGCCTCCGCGACGAAGGTAGAAGCAATGGCCATCAGAGAAGAAAACCCAAAGAGAAAGACCGGAATACTCAAGAGAGTACTGGCCACGTCTAGGGCGARAAGTTGTCTCTGTGAGTCTTCACTTCCATTGGATGCAATGTTTGCTTCGTTTGCTAGGTGAACGAATAGGAAGAGGATGATCTGGAAAGAAAGCGCAAACGCGTACCCAAAATTGAGAAGGGCGATGAGCGAATACGCCAATCGGAGAACACGCAAGCCAAAACTTGT